GACATCAACACACCCACTGATGAAGTCTCTGTTACATCAGAAACTTTCTGAACATCTGAAAACATCAGTGTAAATCTGCTTTCATCCAGACCATCAAAGATGAACACAACTTTACACTCCTCATAAATCTGTGAGTCCAGATCTTGAAGTTCAGGATGAAAGTCCAGCAGAAGTCTGTGAAGACTGTACTGATGATCTTGAATCAAGTTCAGCTCTCGAAATGGAAACACAAACATGAAATCTACATCCTGATTGGCTTTTCCCTCGGCCCAGTCCAGAATGAACTTCTGCACAGAGACGGTTTTTCCAATTCCAGCTATACCTTTAGTAAAAACAGTCCTGATTTTGTCTTTCTCCTCATATACTGGTTTAGATAAAGCTTTGAAGAGGTCATTACAGTTTATTGGATTGTTTTGCGTTCTGGGTGTTTTCTCCATCTGTAAAACCTCATGTTCTTCATTCACCCCTTCTCTCCAGAAGACGGGGATGTGGCACATGATGTGGAGGCTTCTTGCTCTTCTGATGTGTGAGATGATTCTGCTGGATTTTTGCTCGTCACTGATTCTCTTTCTGAAATATTCCTCTTTTAGAGGGTCATCGAAACCTTGAATTTCTGTCACACGGTCAATGTTATTGAATGGGATCTGATTGGCTGCTGCTGGTCTGGAAGTGATCCAGATGAGAGCAGAGGGAAAGAGATCTCCTCTGATGAGGTTTGACATCAACACACCCACTGATGAAGACTCATTCACATCACAAACTTTCTCAGTGTCTGACAACATCAGTGTTATTCTGCTTTCATCCAGACCATCTAGGATGAAAACAACTTTACTTTCCTCATAAATCTTTGAGTCCAGATCTTGAAGTTCAGGGTGGAAGTCCAGCAGAAGTCTGTGAAGACTGACAAACAAAACAATATGTATATTATACTGTACACACACTGTACTATTGTCACATTTATGTTCTGTCTTAGTTTAGACTTCCCTGTGTTTCTGTTCACCCAGCCTTGACCCAAATTTCCATTGTTCCCTGATTAGTCCATTCTGTTCACCTGTTTTTGATTAATTACTCCACCTGTTTCAGTTCTCTTTGATTATGTTCCCTGTGTTCATAAGCCTAGTATTTTCCTCAGTTCCTTCATCTTGTGTTGAAGTTATATTGTGGTTGTTGTCTCCTCTGCTTTCGAGTGTTTTGTTCTTGAATTAATAATTAAAGACTCTATCGTGGATTACTTCACCGTGTGCTCCATCCAAACCACGTTGTGACAACTATTGTATATTATACACTGTACATTGTATACACATTTCTATCAATATTTGCTTATTAAAAGATATACATTTTAAAGCAAACAAGCATAAACAATTTTATGAATTATACAAGGTATATCTGCTGTATGCCAACTATAATGAGAACAAAATTACATACAAAATGTGCTTTTCATTTAGTTTAGACAAACTTCTGGTTTAAGCACTGTACTGAGAGACACCGGCCAATGCAGACAATCTGCGTACAGTACATCATTCTCCAAAATTCCACAACCAAACAAATACAGACTGAACACGGCAACATGGGTAATACACTGATCCAACAAAAACCAACACATGTGTTAGTTTTGGTCAGCGTCTATTGGTGCAGTGTGAATTAGCCTATAAAAAATCAAACCCATGATCTTGGCTTTGTGAGAGCTATGCTCTACTGTTTGAGCTACAGAAATGTAAAAAAGTGCTAATGTCATACCTGGAGTCACTGTAGGTCTCTGTTGCATCACTGATTCCAGGGGGCAGTTTGTATATGGAATTATCAGACAAAGATGCACAGCTTGATCTGGGAGAAGGAGATCTCATTTCAGACATAGTGTCTTCATTCTCTCTTTTCTCATGGAGGCTCATTTTGGTAGCACTGCCTTCCTACTCTTGTGTCTCAAAGAGTTTGACCGTAGACCATCTTGGAAACACAATAGTAGAAAAAGATAGTAAAAAAACAAAAAGTTAAATAGACAGATACACATAATTAAATACAGACTATTGTCGTGAGTAGCTTTGGACACTTACCTGTGAAGTAAAAAGTGCAGTTTTGTGTAATACAACAGAGTTTTTACTCAAAACAGCTTGTACAGTTCAGTGCCTTCATTGGACTGCTCAGAGATAAAATTAACTAAAACAAAGTCCGGAACAATTCAAACTCAAAGTTACCTCAAGATCAGCTTGTGTGAGGAACTTTACCATACATAATTTGCAGTGTGAATCCACTGAGAATATGTAATCATATCTTTGAATATTAGTACAGATATTTAAATAGTTTTAATTATAATGGTAATAATATCAACAATAGTATTATTT